AAGTGCTCGGGCCTGGTGCACTGGGAAGACCCAGAGGGATCGGGTGGAGAGGGAGGTGGGAGGGGGGACCGGGATGGGGAATACATGTAAATCCATGGCTAATTCATTTCAATGTATGACAAAAACCACTGCAATGTTGTAAAGTAATTAGCCTCCAACTAATAAAAATAAATGGAAAAAAAAATAAAATCACTTGCTCTTTGGAAGGCAAGTTAGGACAAACCTAGTGAAGATGAAAGTGTTAATCGCTCAGTTGTGTCCGACTCTTTATGACCCCATGGACTGTAGCCGCCAGGCTCTTCTGTCCACGAATTCTCTAGGCAAGAACCCTGGAGTAGGTAGCCATTTCCTTCTCCAAGGGATCTCCTCAACCCAGAGATGGAACCCGGGTGTTCAGTATTGCAGGCAGATTCTTTACCACAAACCTAGATCGCATATTAAAAGCAAAGACATCACTTTGCTGACAAAGGTCCGTACAGTCATAGCTATGGTTTTTCCAGTAGTCATGTATGGATATGAGAGTTGAAGCATAAAGAAGGCTGAGCACTGAAGAATTGATGCTTTTGGATTGTGGTGCTGGAGAAGACTCTTGAGAGTCCCTTGGATAGCAAGGAGATCAAGCCAGTCAATCCTAAAAGAAATCAGCCCTGAATATTCATTGGAAGGACTGATGCTGAAGCTGAAGCTCTAATATTTTGGCCAGCTGATGTGAACAGCCAACTTATTTGATGCTTGGAAAGATTGAAGGCAGGAGGAGAAGGGGACGACAGAGGATGAGATGGTTGGATGGCATCACCCACTCAATGGACATGAGTCTGAGCAAACTTGGAGATAGTGAAGGACAAGGAAGGCTGGCATGCTACAGTCAATGGGGTTGCAAAGAGTCAAACATGTCTTAGTGTCTGAACAACAGCAGCAGCAACAAATTGGGTGAAAGAAGATATTTATTGAAGATATTTATTGCCTGGGGGTGGGGTGGGGGGCAGGGGAGAGTGGAGGAGGAAAGTGAGTGTCCAGTGGGGCTGGTCACTAGTCAGGTGGGGTGTGTGTGTGTGCCCCAGGATGAGGCCTTAGGGAGGCCACCGCCTGGAATCAAGTGCCACTGGTCACTCCCGCTCACCGAGATGCCACACTCGCTGTGTCTCAGTGCGGTATTGTGGAGAAGGAAGAATGGCCATTTCCCTTTGGTCAGGGGCAGTCATTCCAGCACAACTCTGGGGGGGCCCCCAGGGGGCATGTGGATCCCACTGTGTCTCACATCAGGGTGGCAGCAGCAGGACCCCAAGCAGGAGGTGGCAGGCTCATGTGTGGGCATGAAGCCGGCAGGTGGGCAGAGCATATGCTGCTGTTTGCCATGTTGGTCTCTGGAGCTGGAATCTCAGCAAAAAGCCCCAGAGATGCGAGGGGAGACGGGACGTGGCAGGGGACTCTGCCTCTCTGTGCTGACGGCTCCCCAGCCCCGGTCCTCGGCCCCTTCCCGCCCCCTCTCCCAGGCTGGCCCTGTTTCCTGCTGCCACCCCCACCCTCCACTCCCTGCCCGGGCACCTGCAGGAGTTGGCAGTGCCTTGCACACAGGCCTGGTGTCGCCTGCCTCCTGGGTGGTTGGCCTTGGGGTTTGCTCCCATAAATTCTACCAGGCTGGAGCGCAGGGCCACCGGGACGAGGCCTGAAGTGTTCCACCGGATCTCTACCAGGGGGGACCCCAGTGGGCCACCAGTGGGTAGAGGAGCTCTTGGTGTGGCCCAGATGGCAGTTTTCTATTAACGATAGCAGTGACAATGATCGCAGTGATGGCCACTGGCCACTGCAGGCCCAGTGTATGCCAGGACCTGTGTTGGGTTTCAGCAAATGACAGCTCGTGGAATTCCAGGGGTACCACTGAGATGACGACCTCCTGGCTCTCAGCGGGGACCTCCATGGATTCCCCGCTCTGCCCTGATCCCAGGTGCCTGAGACATGGGCCCTTTCCTCCTGAGACCCCGTGCGGAGCCGACATCCCCCTGAGCTGTCGGGTTGGAGAGCACTCTGACCCCCCAACTCTGGGCACACAGAGCCCTCCCAACTGCCTCTGTGGAGCTGACTCTGAAGCCGTGGGGACCCAGGTGATGGGGCCCTGCAGCACCCCACCTGTGGGGAGATAGTCTGGGCCGGGGTTCCCTCCATCATGTCCGGCGGCTGTGTGCTGAGACAGTCGCATCTGTGTGCAAACCCAGCCCCACCCACTGTCTGTGTCTGTGTGACCTTGGCTGTCTCCAAACTGTTGCCTCAGCCCTCAGATAAAACCGATGAGGCTGCAGTCTCTCTCCATCTCACCCTGACAATCAGAGAGGAACCCCTTCCCTCCAAAAACCCAGGGAAAGAGGACTGCTCCTGCAGGGCTGGGGCCCATCTGCCTGGGGGCACAGGGCGGGCCGCCACAGCGCTCTGAGCAGCTGGGTGAGGAGGCGCTGCAGACCAGTGGGGGCCGAGGTCCGGACCAGGGGTGGACATAGCAGGAGCCCCGCCACTGGCCACAGCTCTAGCCATCTCCCCTCCAGCGTGGGCCGCGGGTTCTTGCCCCCCATGATTCTCAAATAAGAGTGAGTGGCTCGTCCAAGCTGCCTGGCGCTTTTCCAGTTTCAGCACCAAAGGTTTGATGTTTTAGGAAAACCTCCCAGTCCCAGGTGAACTAGGATGGTTGACCAGCCTCCTCTTGATTGAGTCAAGGATCAAGGTGGCTCGATCTGGGGTGAGGGAAAAGCTGACTGCCTTGGAATCCCCATAAATGCCGACCTCGGGGAATTATGATGAAATCATATAGAAACCAGGCAGGCAAGGGACCAAGACCAGCCAGGTGTCCAAGGTACCCGGGTCTGCAGCAGAGCTTCAAGGGAGGACCACACCTGTGCACTGTCTGCCCTCTCCTTCCCACTCTGCCCCCGGCCAAGCCCCCACCACAAATGGCAACAGACAGCCATCTTTATAAGTATATTTTTATTGAAAATAAAAAGGCATGGTGCTTTCTTCCTCTAAGTAGCATGTAGCCCACCCCTCACGCTGCCTGTCCTGCTTCCTACACAACATCTCAGAACAGAGTCGACATCAGAGGCTCGTTGGTGGACAGGAGGGCACCGACGTGTGTATTGGTCCATTGAGACAGAACTGGGAACAGGAGCCATCTTCCCGTGCGCTCTTAGCAACCGTGAGGAAGGCAGGTCTCAGGGTATTTACATTCATGCATTAGATATCGCACACTACCTGGGCTGTTGAAATCATACTTTGTACAGATTCAGAGAGTACTGTAATTATATATATATAGATAGATATCTCTTTAAATATATATAACTATATATAATATATATGTCTATTTTTACAGCTATTAGTCTTTCTTCCAAAACTTGCTTTAGAAGCATCTAAGGAACACCTGAAACCTCTGGAAGATCCTATATGCCATTCTAAAGCTGGGCTTGACAGGAGACGGTCGAAAAATATCTATTTGAGAAAATGCAGAAAAGGAATGTGCCTGTCGTTCTCAAAGGTTCAGAGTAGCCTGAGGATTGGTCCGTGTTTAAGGGCTGAAGATATATGCCTGAAATTTAAGTTTAAGCTCAAATACCAGGCTGGGTGGTTTTATGGATCTTCTGTTGCTTAAGCTGAAAATCCACGGGGGGCTCTCTCCTTGCACCCGTGAGGGCTGTCTTCCAAATGACCGGTTCTGGGTTTGTTCTCAAGTGAATTCTCTTTTAAAAACTGGGGTCTTTTCTTAGTTTTCACTAACTGGGCGAGAAGAGATTTGACAAACCCAATTTGGGGGAATTTATGTGCAAACGTTAGCTTTTCACGGAGCCTGGGCTATGTGTCCCCAGGGAAGTGGATACTGGCTCCAGAGTGAAGGACTGATGGTTTTCTGGGGATCCTGATGGGGAGCCTGGCTGGGGCTGGAGGATTAAGTTAATTGCAAAATCTGAGCCACTCAGGTTTAAGCCCAGGCTGTGGAAGGTGGGATCAACAGGCTTTTGCAAGAGCTGGAGTGTGCCCTGCTTCCTTCCATGTCCCCCCCAGACTGACTGCCCAGGACTCCACGACCACTCAGCCAGGATTCTTCCCTCTGGTCACAGATGCTCTCCCATCACTCCTGGACCAGGAAAGTGTGTGCGTCGGGCTGGGGTCCTGCCTGGGTGTCTGCTCAGGGGACGGGCAGGGGATCAGCAGGAGCCACAGGCAGTGAGGAAAGCACGCTGGGACGGGGTCTGTCCTGCTGAGGGGCCCACAGCCTCTGGCCTGCTTGTCACTCAGCTCAGCATCCTTGGCAAGTGGAGGGCACGAACCGTCAAGTACCTACTGGGTGGGGCAGGGAGGAAGGCCACGGGGGCCCCGCGCTAAGGCACACAGGGAGAACAGAAGCCGGTCCAGAGCCAAGCCAGTCCTCACGCGGGGAGCACTGAGAGGGGGAAGAGCCTCCCTGGGACGCTCTGCCCGGGGCCTGGCCTCAGCCTGCACCCACTGACCTGGCGACAGGACCTGGGCCAAGGTCACGGCGCGTTCACCTTCTCCCCTGCTCTCGGCACGCAGACGCCTCCGTGGGCACCAGGGCTCCCGGGCGATGGATGTTTCAAGGTTCAGCCCAAACGGGGATTGGTTTCCAGTCTGTCAGTCTCCCCTGGATGTGAGTCTCACCTGTGGCCCAAACGCCCTCCAGAGAACAACTGACACTTGTGGTCTGGGAGGCAGGCAGGGTCCCCGGCTCGGACCCTACATAGCCAGAGAGCGGAGCCCCTGGCTGTGATGGGTTCCTCTCAGCAAGTGCGTGGAGGGTGAGGGAGCCAGGGCCCCAGCAGTGTTCTCCCAGCCCTCCGGGAGTGCAAAACCGCAAGGCTGCTGTGGGCAGTGATGTGCCCACAGGGTGACTGGCTGCCGGCGAAACAGGCTGGCAGGTGGGGGTCACTTGGCCAGTAGATGGGGGTCACCAGGCCTAGAGGGTCCCTCTCTTCCCATCTCCTTTCCTTCCCTTCGTCCACCAACCACTCCGGAGGACTCAGCACTTTCAGAGCACAGGGGACATTCAAGGCGCCCATAGAAGCATGCGGGCTCCCTCGGGATGACGGCAGGCCTGGGGCTCTCCGGAGAGGCTCTGAGTACCAGGCCTCAGGGAGTGTTCAGGGGCCCAGCACCAGGCCGGTGGGTCCAGGCCGGAGCGCCGATGGTGGGTTTGGCACGGGGGTGGCCTCTGCCGGGGGGGCAGGCAGGGCCTGGCTCACAGGGAAGCGTCGGCTCCTCTGAGGGTCAGATGTGGGAGTGAGTCTGAGGACAGGTGTAGTGGCCCCCATCCTTCCAGGGCCCCAGACCTGGGGTTCGGGGCGTTGTTTTGCCCTGGACGGTCAGACCCCACCCGGGGGTGTGACCGGGCTCCTCGGCTCAGTCCGGACTCCGCAGGTGGGGCGCACAGCCCCCTGTGGCGGGGAGTCAGGAGCCAGGGGCCCTGGGTGTGATGGAGATGGGAGGGAGAAGGCAGGCCCTGAAGACTGAGACAATGACGGGGCGGCGGGAAGATGGGTGGGAGCACCTTTGAACGGGGACGTCTCGTGGCTGCGCCCATGGCTTCTGTTGGGAATGGCGTGGTCAGGGAAGAAGCAGGCGGGCTTCCTGGTGGGGAGGGGAGGTCTCCTTTAGGCGAAAGGGGCGGGGGCACCTCTTCGCCCCGGCAGACAGGCTCCCGGCCTTCTCAGGGTGTGTGCTTTAGGCACCAGCCGGGGGGCTGTCCGTGGATCAGACACAAGAGGAGGAAGAGACACGGGGCCTCAGATGGCAGCGCTACCCTGGAGGCCGCCCGCCGGTGAGCCTGGCTCAGCCTGGTGTCCGCAGCATCCACGCCGTGGGCTGCCCAAGGGGCGAGGCTGGGCAAAGGAGGCTTTCTTCTTTGGGAGGCTCGAAGCCTGCAAGGCGATGAAGTCCTGGGCAAGCCCAGTGTCAGCTCGTGTCCACCCGCTTTCCCACGTCCACCAGTGCCACCAAGGTGTCCCTCTGGCCAGCAGTCCAGGGCCTACGGACTCACACCACGGCGCTGTTCGCATCCACCCCTTTGCTGCTTTGCGAGGAAGTCATAGGGTACTCAGCAACGCCAGTGCCGTTCTCCTCTTTTCTCAGGGGTTTCCTGGGGGCAGGTGGAGGAGTGGGGAAGGCAAAGGAGGGGGAGGCAGGGACATCCATTAGTTATCAGCAGCTGGTTGGGGTGTATCTTACCCTCCCAGTCACCCCACCAGGCTCTGGTCCAGGTCAGCATCCTTGGGGTGCTAGCCCTTGTGGTCTTATGTTATAGGGTGACCATATACTGTGTCAGGCAACAGGACATAGTGAATAACAAAGCAGGGAAAATAGGTGTGACTTGGAACTGTTCTGGACAAACCACGATGTATGCTCAGCTTGGTATGCTATCTGGTCAGCCTTTGGTTGATCTCTTTGATATGAGCAAATAGACATGAAGATGAATATTTGGGGTGCAGAGGGTTAAAAGAGGTGAGGTGCTCGTGGTTGGGCTTTGTAGTCTTATCTCTGGGAGGTCAAAGGCAAGAGGAAAATGTGATGAAGTGGGTGGTGGTAGCGCTGTTGCTGCTCATGGCGGTGGATGGGGTGGGGATGGAGATGATGGGGCTGGTGGCATCAATGGTAAAGGCAGTGGTGATGGTGAGTGGAGCTGGTGGTGACAGTAATGGAGGTGGCAGTGGTGATGATGGTAGAGTTGATGGCGGTGATGACAGTGATGGTAATGCTGGTGGTGGAGTGGATGGTGGTGTTGATAGTGATGGTGATGCTGGTGGTGGAGTGGATGGTGGTGTTGATAGTGATGGTGATGCTGGTGGTGGAGTGGATGGTGGTGTTGATAGTGATGGTGATGGTGGTGGATGGTGGTGATGACAGCGGTAACAGAAATGGTGGTATGGTGGATGGCAGTGATCATCATGGTGATGGCAGAGAGGGAGACAGTGGTGACAGTGATGGTGAATGTCCAAACTAAATCAGTGCACACCCATGGTTCTCAAACACTTCATGTTGCATCACTGGAAGCTCATTCCAAAGGCCCTTTAACCCCAGGAGCCATTCCTCCTAGGCACGCTGGGCATGGGGAAGGCTGGGAGGGAAACCTTGAGAAGGCTTGTGCTCACTTGCTGAGACTCTGAATTCACAGCACTGCTTTCTGGCCTGGCTCAGATCCTACCTCCTCTCTTGGTCATTCGGGAGGACTTCAGCTCCCAGCCCCAGGCCTGAGTGACCACAGCCTCCTGACGGGTCCACACCATACATGCTGTGTAGCCCGACCCCATGGCACAATCCTGCTGTCTCTTGGGTGGACCTGAGGCCCAAGAGGTGGCAGCTCAGTCACCTCCTGTATCCCCAAAAACATTGGGGCTGAGCCTGAACTGGCCTTCATTGTGTGTTGTCCAAACTGAATGTTTAGGTCATCGTTGAAAGCCTAGGGATTGATTGCTTCTGCCTTCTCAAATGTCCCTAGCGCCTCCCCAAACCCAGCGGGAGGACCGGTAGGCAGACAGCTTGATGCCTATGGGATAAGGTTGTTGGCGATTAGTTTAGGGGAGGGAGGGTCTGTGAGGTGGTTATCAGTAGTTTCAGGGAGACGGGACTATCAGGCCTGTTCAGAGGCAACATGATGAGCAGCCACACTCTTGTCCCCTCTCACAATGGTCCCCTGAAGAAGCCAGGCCTGAAGTTGCAAGATTCATTTCATAGGGAAGCTGAGGCTTTGGGAGAGCTGTGACTTGCCCAGTGACCACTCCATACCCCACCCACCAGTATGTGGTGGGGCTTGGAGCACCACTCACTCCTACCATGTCTTGATCCAAACATCTTTCTACTGAATCACCATTCTGCTGCTACTGATGATAAAGGGGACCTCCCGCACCCTCCATCCCCAAACGGGCCCTGTAGTCCAATCACCTTGGGAAGGCCCTCCTCCACCCTCCTCTTGGAGATTCCCCTAAGTTCTCAAGACTCTGCTCCCAGAAGCCTGTCTCATTTTGCTTTAACCCAGCACATCCTGTGTTCTAGGGTCCCCCAAACCCCATTTCTATAGATGCTCACAGACACTTTCTAGAACTCAGAAAAGGCTCAGAAGAGTTGCCTTGTTTGTGATGGGCTCCTGGAAATGACAGGCTCTGAGTCTCCCTCTCTCCCAGGCCTTTCTCCCTCTGTTTCTCTTACCCTTCCTCCCTCCCTCCTATCCCTTTCCAGGGGCCTCAAGCCCTTCTGACCTTGCTCTGTGGGCTTGATTCTGACTCAGTGAGTTCCACCTGACCTGAAAATTGGGGGTTAGGGGTGCACTTTCTTACAGTGAGATCCTGTGTGGCCCCCAACACGAGGCCCTTGAGGGACTTAACTGACATTCTTAAATTTATCATCAATACAGAGGGATTTCATCAGAATCAGAATTCCAGAAAATAAAGTCAAAAATCTCTGCCCCCTCTCCCCCCAAAAATCTCTGGGCCCAAAGATTTTTCTGCTTTTCTCCCTAATAAATATTCAGTCTTGGGCTAGGTCTGAAAAGTCAACTGAAATGGGTAAGGACAGGGGAGATGAGGCTTAAGGGACTTTGAGGGTAGATAATGCCAAGATGAAGGGGTCCTGGAACTTAAAGGGAGATGGGTAGAGCCTGGAGGGCACAGAGTTCAGCCCTTTTTAGGGAGGGGGTAGGAAATGAGCAGGATTCCTTCCTCCATGAGGAGAAGGGACATTTCTAAAGCCAGGCTGCTGCTGCGAGACCCCCATTCCTAGGACTTGGGTGGAGGGGACGGTGGCTGGAGGGACACTGGGGTCAGGACCAGGAGAGAGTCCCAGGGCCTTCTCAATGGCTCAGCCAGCTTCTCAGACAGGAAAGGGGGTCTCAGTGGGGTCTCCATCCAGCAAAGAGGGCAACTTTTGGCTAGCGCAGCACCTCTCAGGAGCAGTCCAAGAGCCTGGGCGTGGCGAGGGGAGAATGGGCTGTCCCAAGGGCTCTCCTGAGAAGCACACTTGGTCTGCTCCCCTCCCCCATGGAGCTGAGTTGTCAGCCACTCCGCTCCCTGGGCTGCTGCCCCAGCCCACTCCCCGAAGCCCTTCCATGATTCACTGGAGCCTGGTGGACACTGGAGTTTTACCTACAGCAGGACAACGCTCTGCCTTGAACACCTACCCCCATCCCCAACCTCTCTGTCAGCACAGCACTTCAGGGTGACGCTGCAGAAGGGCTGGGAAGCAGATGTCTGCTCACTAAACCCAGCTCTCCCACCTTCTAGCTGTGTGACCTTGGATAAGTCACTTAACCTCACCATGCCTCGGTTTCCTGGTCTATAAAATGGGCACAATAAAGGGGTCCATTTCATAGACCTATGGGGAGGATTAAATATGTTAATGCATGTCAAGCCCCTCAAAGTAAGTGCTCCATAAGTGCATGTTAGTTCTCAGTATGATACAGCTGGAAAGGGGTCAGCGCAGAGCTGCTCCTGTTGCCAGTGGTCTCCAGTCTGCAGAGACTTCCTACCTAGTGTGCGCCCCGGGGGGCTCCTGAGTGCTGGGGGGCTGGTGGGGACCCAGCCCGGCCCCCTGTGAGCCACCTCTGGTTCCTGCTAAACCAGAGAAAGGCCCTTCTGCCTGGGTGCAGGAAAAGCTGGGCACACACGGCTGCCTACATGGCCTGGTTCCTAAAACCAAGGAAAAGGGAAGTGAGATTTTCCTTGGCTCCATGTCCAATTCCCATATGTCGCAGGGCAGGGTCTCCCACCTTGAGAAAACTCCCACCCTGGGATCCCCATGTTCTCTGCTTGGAGGGCGGCCCTGACGGCTCACCGCCAGCAGAATGCCTGGGTAGGGAGAGCCAGGACCCCCTTCCGGTTCCTGCTGACAGCGCTGTGATGGGTTCCCCCCTCAGCCCCCGCTCTGTGGGGGTTGGGGGGAGCTGGAGGCAAACAACAGCTCTGAGACCCTGAGAGTGGAGGCTGCTGGCTCGTTTCCTATGTCCCGAAGCCCATGGAGGGTCTGTTCTAAGCGACGTGAGGTTAAAGTTCTCAGACTTCCTCTCCCAAAGGTATTTATTCTCCCCATGGCCCATCCCCAGCACACACACATACACATATACCACATCATACCACACACACATCCATGCCCATATACACATTCAGTAACACACATCCACACATGCATGCACATATACACTCATACATGCCTATACACACATGCATACATATGCACGTACACACACACACATCCATGCACGCTCACATACACAGAATTCCATCATGAGATGCCTCTGTACACCGCAGACTTCTCCAAATCTGGGTCTAGAAACAAACAAACAAAAAAAGCCTTTCTGGGCCACTGAGGGCATCCCCTGACAATGAGAAGCAGCACCCATTTCTCGCCCCAAATCCTCTGCCATCACCAGGGAAGATGAGCCAGGCATGTGGCTATGAACAGCCCCATACTCAATCAAACCCCCTGTGTTCACTGCCCCTGCCCCCACCCCTGCCCAGGGTTTCCATGTTCAGCCATGTCTGCTGAGCCTGTTGAAAGATGGTGCTGCGGAGGTTCTGGGACCGGGTCCTTCTTGGGACCCGGCTGGCAGGACAAGGTCTCTGGATCTTATTTTGAGTGCAGGGGAGCCATCGAGGACTCCTTGTATGAGGAATTGCTATTTATCCCTTTACCCTACCCCATGACCTTGACCCAGTGTATCTGGAAAGCTGAGTTCCAAGAGAATGGAGTTTCTTGGGGATAAAAAGGTCTAAGAAGCAGAGACTTGTCTGAGTCTCCCATCTGCCAGCACTGGGCTCCATGGCCCCACTGCACAGAGGATCCGAGGCAGACAGAGCAACTGGCCCTGCAACAGGCCTCCTACTGCCAGGAGGGGATTTCATCACCTATCACAGCACGCAGGACCCTTGGAGAGGGATGTTAGTTGCTCACTCATGTCCAAATTTTGCGACCCCATGGACTGTAGTCCGCCAGGCTCTTCTGTCTATGGGATTCTCCAGGCAAGAATACTGGTGGGTTGCCATTTCCTTCTCCAGGAAATCTTCCCAACCTAGGGATCAATCCTGGATTTCCTGCATTGCAGGTAGATTCTTTACTGTCTGAGTCAGTTTTAAAGGTGGAATTTCTCAAGTC